GGCTGGCAGGGCCGGCGCCGATTCAGGGGCTCAGCCCAGAAATCCTGCGGTGCAGAGACAGGGAAGAGAGCGTGGACACCTTCTCCTGGAGCTGGCCGGGCCAGGATGCTGTGGAAAAAGGAGGGGGGGAAAATAACCTAATGAGCTGAACGTCCTCTGACTCTGCTCTCAGGAACTTTGCCAAAGCATCATTGAACTTGTCAGGAAGTATTACAACAAAATTAAGAACTAGCAGCAATTTTCTTGCATTTGGGATCCTATGCTTTATAAAGTAAATTATTAATGCATTTTTTTTCTCCATTAAGCAGTTATTTGCAGCAGTCTTGGTATATTTCTCATTAGAAATAACATCATCTGAAGAACTTATATTGATTTTTTTTTTTTTTAATCTCCGAATCATGAATGTGAACAACATATTTCTATGACGTTCCCTTTAACTAGAATTCTCAGGCTTTATTTTTATATCATTGATCTTTTTGACATGAATTGCTTTTTGGCCTTGTGAAAACGTTGTGAGCTGCTTCTGCCTTTGGAGGAACGGGCTGGGGGGGGGCGGCGGTGGAAGGAGCTGGAAGGGGAGGGTGGGTGTGCGATGGGTCTGTGGGTGCCTGCGATGGGTTTGCGGGTGAGTGCAATAGGTTTATGTGGGCGTGCAACGGGTTGGTGGGTGTGCGATGGGTCTGCGCGAGTGTGTGATGGGTTCGTGGGTGTGCACCATGGAGTCGTGTGGGCACACGATGGGTTTGTGCATGGGTGCGATGGGTTTGTACATGTGCGATGGGTTTATGTGCGTGCAATGGGTTTGTCTGCGTGATGGGTTTGTGTGTGTGTGCGATGGGTCTGTGGGTGCGTGCATGATGGGTTTGTGTGTGTAATGGGTTCCTGTGGGGGTACAGTGGGTTTTTGGGGTGCACAACGGGTCTGTGCACGTGTGCAATGGGTCTGTGTGGTGTGCGATGGGTTTGTATGTGTGTGCAGTGGGTTTGTGTGGTAAGTTTGTGGGTGTGCGATGGGGCTGTGGGTGTCTGCAGTTGGTTTGCATGCGCGTGTGATGGATCTGCGTGTGCGTGCAATGGGCTTGTCCATGTGCAATGGGTCCCTGCGCGTGCACGATGGGGCTGTGGGTGCGCAATGGATTTGTGCACGTGTGTGGTGGGTTTAAAGAGTCAGTCGGATGCGGGGCACCAGGAAGGCAGCTAAGGACCCCGGCACGAGGTGGGGGCTCCCCAGCACATGGCCGGTGCTGCACGGGGGGTCCAGCCCCCATCACCCGCAGCTCTCCCCCGGGACAGCGGCTCCCTCCCAGGCTCTCCCCCCTCGCCCCTCCGCAGCCCTCCCACTCTCCCCAACTTCTTTACACATCAGCAAAAAAAGCGAGGAAAATAGCAAAGGCTTGAATGTATTTTTTCATCAGTTTTCTTCAACATTTGGGGTCTCTGTTGCCGCTTTCTCCCCCGACAGCTGTTCCTCTCCGCTGAAAAAGAGCTCATTTGTGGTTTACTGCCACCAGTATTTAGATGGAAATAACCCACTACTTATCCTGCACTTGATCTCATGGATATAAGAATAAACTCACCGCCGGTGCGATGCAAATCCTGCGCCTTTGGAGAGGAGATGCTCAGACAGTCGGTCCTTGCCGCCGTACCGGGAGGAGGACCGGCTGTGCCGGGGGAGTTTTACCATTTTGTCAGTCAATTATAATAATATTTCTGCTTCCAAATGTTTAAAAAGTTGGCTTCGGAAGGTATAATCATGGCACAGAGGCCAGCCTGACAATAGTAATTAATTAGGCTATTACGCATTCTACAGTGATAATTGCTTTGCTGGAAAGTCACCAGCCATGAAAAGGACCCGGCGCGTAAATGTAATTCATCATGCGACGGCGATCCCGCACCGCTGCCGTGCCTCACCTTGAGCCCGTGGATGCTGGGGGGGGGGGCGCGGTGGGAATAGAAATTAATAATACATCGATACATAGAGCGGAGGCAGAGCTCGCCGCTGGCCGCCGAGGGCTTTGCGGGCAAGGGGAGAGCGGTTGGCGGATGGCTTGCTGTTGCCATCACCATGATGTCCATCGACAACAGTGGGGATGACACCGTCCCAACCCCATCGTGCTGGGGCTACTTGTGGGGACATTCAGCTCCCCCATTTTTAGCAATTTTCTCCTCTTTTTAGCAGGACATAGGTGACATCACCCTCTTAGATGGGGACACAGGGTTTGACCCAGCTTCTGCCCTGCAGGAGCAAACGTCTAGGGTTTTTTCCTACAAAACCTTGATTTTAGGGCTGATGCGCTTTCTCTGGGTGTTTATTCAGCTTTATGTGAGCAATAACAGCGGTTTCAGGGTTTGGGTGAGCTGTGCTTGTGCAGCACGTGAAGCTACTCTGGCAGGAATGACCCCTGGCATTTTGGTGAATTATCCCCATCTGGAAAAGGTCGCTGAAAATTTTAAGTATCTTTTTTTCACTGACATTTCCTTGAAGTTTAGTGGGACTCCGAAAGAGCAGAGCAGACGCCTGGCTCACCGTCCTGCCGATCGGCTGTGCCGGTGATGCCCCAGTGCTGACATGGGCTGAATGTGCTGGTGCTGAGCCAGAGCCCAGAGTGGGGGTACGGGGCAGGAGCCGAGGCTGATGAAAGGGCCCCCAAATGCCTCGTCTGATGAAATACCCCAAATGCCTCCTCACCGGGAAACTGCGGGTCCTGCGGCTCCAGTTAAGATGCTGATGGTAGTTAATGTGTGGAAAGGTGTTACACCACGTCGGTGGGTGCTCCATGGGAAAGTGGGCTGAGCACCGGGTCGACCCCTCGCATGAACCAGGAGGAGACCTGGATCCGTCCCCAGTGAGCCTGTGGCCAGTGGCCATGGAGAGGCGAGGACCATGGGACCATGGCATGGGGATTCTGCAGGCTCCTGCCCGCCCCAGAGCCACAACGTTCCCGGTGGGGGATGCTCGGATCTCCACTGGGATTGCCAAAGAGAGAGAAAGGCTTCAAAGTTTTCTGTTGAAAAACGCTTTGTCTCTATGATGTGACTTCAGGAATAAAATTCAGTGGAAACGGCCTGATTCAGAGGTCTGGGCTGGCTCCTCCCTGCTGGCACAGGTTAGGGATGTGGGGGGGGACAGGCACGGGTGATGGAGAGGTGATGGAGACCACGTTTGGGCTGGCTCTTTGCTCTGCACCCTTTGGTCGACGCTGACTCAGGGGAGATGAAGCTCTCCAGAGCAGTTCGAGCAGGTCCAGGCATCCCCGTCGCCCTGCGGCAGAGCTGTGCCCACGGGCTGTGCCCGCTCCCACTCGTCTCCTGGGCAAAGTCCAAAGGGTGCGGGAGGTGGGGGGGTAACGCAGGGCTGACACCATGGAGCACCCCAGCACTGCTGTGTCTTTGCATCCTTATGGACCCCCCGGCAGGGCTCTCTGCACCACCTCAATGCCGCGTGCCGCCGGCAAATTCAGCAGGCGCGATGCTGTCCTGCTGCGATACGCAGGCGGTGCTGCTCACCGCCTGCTTGCTGCCTCCCTCTCTCTTCCCCGCTTTATTATTATTATTTTAAAACACCCTGAAGCCAAGCATTTTTGCAGAACGCTGAAGAAAAGCCCCCAAATTCCTCGTCTGCTGGAAACGCGGCGCCGAGAAAGTAGGTTTGTGTACGAGACGCTATAAAAAGCCTGGCTTATACAATTTTAACAATAGAAAAATGATCTTTGTGCTCCAGTGCCTGCGAGCGTGGAAGGAGAAGGCGGTTTGCTCAGGTGGCTGCTGGATTACAAATGAGCGGTTTGCTTTGGGTTTGAATGACAAGCAATCGCAATCCGGGCTGGCGGGGTGAGCAGGAGGGAAAAGATGCTCTGGTGTGGGAGCTGCCATGGGGCTGAGGCACGAAGTTCAGGCTTCATTTGATAATTAGCCCATCGGTGGCTGAAGAGTGGTTTAACTGACTAGTCTGCTGTTCTTCCTCCATCACCAGTTGGCACAGGTGCCCAGTTTGGATCAAACTGGGCATTTTCTGGCTGGGAATGGGTCACCTCCATCCCCGGCTCCTGCGCCCAGGGCGACAGGGACACAGAGGTCCATGTGTCCCACCGGCACCCCATCCCATCCGCTGCAGGTGGGGCTGGATGTGCAGGGGTAGCAAGGGGACACTCGGCAAACAAAATGTGCCAGAGCCTGGTGGGCAGCAGCCCCCACCCTGAGGTGTCGTTGCGCCTTGAAAAATTAAGGGGAGTAAATGATTCATGCTCATAAATGTTGGATGGGAGTGTGCGGCAGATTAATATGTTGTTCGGTTATTAGCGACGTAGTGTGCCGTCTCCCCGCTACCCAGCCGGCGTGAGTGTCACCAGCACTCCAGCAGCCGAGGAGGACAGGGGCACGATGTCCCGGTCCTGCTGCACAGGGCCGGCGCGAGCATCACTCCTGCCCACGGCATCGCCCCAGCCGTGCAGTACTGGGGAGGGTTGCTGGGAAGGGCTGTGTGCCGGATCCGGCCCAGCAAGCACAACAACGGGCAGGCTTCTTTATTTCTTATTTAAGCGCTGACATTAAATTATAATTTTCATTTACTCAGAGCACATCAATGATTTAGGACGACGTGACATGGCAGCGGCGCAAGGAGTTTAGCCAAAGGCAGTGAGCGGCTGCGTGGGGCACGGAGAGGGCACAGAGCCCTGCAGTGGGGGACCCATGTGCCGATCAAGGGTGGCAGCGGTCCCAGTGGCCTGGCAGAGCCGGTTCCCTCCTCCAAGCCCGTCTCTCACCCCCTTTTTCCATCTCCCTGCAGGTGATTGCACTTAGTAAGAGAAGTAAGGAGGCTGAGACGGCTTTCCTGAGCGTTTACAAGCAATTAATCGAAGCTCCAGGTAAGCAACGCGGTGGCGACCTGACTGCCTAACGAGTCGCGTGCCGGCGCCGGTGCCGAGAGGAGCCACTGAGGACCACGGCAGCGCTGCCGGCCCTGTCCCCGGCACGGCTGGCATCGCCGACCTCCGCTTGCGCATGGTGCTCTGGAAATACCAGCCGAAGAGAGGAGTGGAAACAGCTTTTGCCATCGCTGTGTTTCAGCCCCTGAGCCAAATGCATCTTGACATTAGGAAAGGAATACATTTGCTCAGCCCTTGTAATAACACTGCGGCTATCCCCAGTTGTCTTTTTGACGGTAAGTTAACCAAAATGACCGAGCGCCAGCTCGCAGCTCGGCTCCTGGCACCGGCCGCGGCTCGGGGACAGCTTTCCCCGTTTCACTGCTGTGTCGGGGTGTACCCCCCGACTGGGGTGCCGCTTGAAGCCTTGGGAGGGGGAAACTGAGGCACAGGGCAGCCCTGAGACTTGTGTTGGCAGAGTCGGTGCTAGGGCCGGATGAGGGGCTAGGACCCCCCCTCCCAGCTGCTCCCCACTCCCCGCTGTGGGCTCTCCCGTGCCCTGAACTGGGGATGCTGTCTGTGCCGGGCACGGCGGCATGAAGCATCCCCCTGCACGGCGAGGACGGAGAGCTGCAAATGGCTGAAGATGCGCAGAAGGGCTCCTGCAGGGCCACTAATTCATTTTCCAGACATTTAGGAATAACAAAATGTTTTAATGATTTCTTAGGGGAATTAGGGAGACATATTTTTGTCCTCATTAAATTTTCTCCTGTGCTACAAGAACCAAATGTCAGCTTGGTTTCCAGAACCCAGTTATCTTCCCTCCCCACTTTCCCGCGCTCACCCGCCGTGCTCCTCCTGCATGCATATGCATGCACAGGGATGCACACACGTGCACGCACATGTACACACATGCATGCAGATGCACACACATGCACACCCCAAAACTGCTCCCCTGTAATCTCTGCACCCCCCCTCCTCCCCTCTCTCTGCTCTCCCGCAGCATCTGTCTCTTGTTCCCCTCTCCCCTCCTGCTCCCCAAATCCTCCCATCCGTCGTTTTGTCCCCGTCTGTTACATGTCCGTGTGTCTCTCGACAGGCGAACTCTTTGTGGAATACTTTACAAGCGCCACATAAGTCCTGATTCGACATTTTTTGCTTTGAATGGCTGCTGTCAACACAAATCTGTGGCAGAGACTGTAACGGAGCCTGATTGCTCAGCAAGTATTTTGATAAGTGAGCTGGCTGTGTGTCTGTAATTACGGGAGAAAACCGTAAATCTTTTGGATATTGTTCACACAGATGTGGCGTGAAGGGAAGGGGGGAAGCAGTAAAATGTGTTAAAAGCATAATTAATGTCATTGTTGTTGGGGATGATTTGATTTAAGGCTGACTTTGACTCGTGGAGGGATTCATAGGGCGCCGGTGGATGTGTTTGAGCAGGTTGGGATGGGGTGGCGGAGGAGGTGCCACCCCGGTGGAAGAGGTGATGGCACTGCGGATGTGCCGTGGAGGCACCGTGGATGCACCGTGCATGCGCATGGATGCACCGTGCATGCACCGTGCTCCTGTTAGAGCCGGACAGTGGTGTAAGGCAGATGTCATCCTTCAGCCCGCGGCACAGAGACCTCCACCAAAGGCTGGGCCAAGCGGCCGGGCCCTGGCACAGGGATGGGCTGCAGGTCCCCGGGGGAGATGGGTGCTCCCTGGAGCTGTGCATGCTCAGGGGAGGTGATGAGCACCCAGGACACCTTGTGCCCCATCGCGCCATCACATGGTGCCTCGAGCTGCGCTGGTGGCCATGCGGTGCTGCGGTGGAGGTGTCCAGGAGCAGGTCTGCTGGTGACCCAGATCCCCTCCAGCACGGGGAAAGGCCCCCAGCCCCACTTCCCTGTGCTGGGGCCGGTGACACCAGGAGGGACCCCTGTCCACCGCCCCATCCCTGCTGCAGCACTGCTGGTGCCACTAAAGGACAGCCAATAACGCCAGCTAGTGGCAGCACTTATTATATATATTTATATACATGTATGTGTATATATATAGTGGGTGAGCATATGGAGCGATAGGTAAGCACGCCTGGGCAGCAGGTTCTGCTTTGTGGCAGGGACTTGCTGGCCCATGGGTCAGTGCGAGCCGGCTGTGCCGTCAGTGGGCGATGCCACGCCGTGGCCCCTGGGCATGCGGGAGCTGCCATGGGTGGACACAGCACCGGAGCGTGCGGCACCCCATGGTCCTGTTTTGGCACATGCCTCTCTTGCATCACCCTCACCCGGCTGTGCTGCCGGTGAGTCACCGCCACGGTGGGGCTCACAGCTGCACGGCTGCTCGGCTGCAGCGTCAGCGCCGTCTCCTCCAACCTGTCCCGATGGGGACTGTGACCCACACAGGGTGGACCATCCCCTGTGCCGTGGGCAGTGTCCCGCACCCTCCCACGTGGCTCAGAGTGCAATGGCACGTGGCATCCGCGGTGCCTTGGCATGAGCAGGCAACGTGCTTGGCTTCAAGTGCATCCTCTCTCCAACCCTGCAGCAGGAGGGTTTGTTCCCTGGTGGCACAAGCACGGCATGAGCTTAGCGCAAGCACGACATGAGCATGGTGCAAGCATGGTGCGAGCTTGGTGCAAGCACTGCATTGAGCATGGTGCAAGCATGGCGCGAGCTTGGTGCGCAGTCACAGCAGCCCCTTGCTGCATCTGGACACCTTGCATGCGGTGGCAGGGCCGGCCTCGCAGCCGAGGACAGCACTTTCCCAGTGGATGGACAGCGTGGTATTAGCACGATGTAATTAATCCAGCTGGGCGTTTTGCATCAGCGCTGCCCCAGCTGACGTAGGGAGCGGAGCTGAAGCGCCGCTTGCTCTTTTCCATTCTAAAAGCTCCGCTCCCGACCACATCATCCCGGGATGTCAGCTCCGAACGGGGAGCAGCGCGCTGGGGGATTGTGCCGGCCGTATTTCAGTGACGGGGCTGTGGCTTACAGGAGGGAAAATGCTGATGCGGGGAAAATCCCCAGAGCTTTATCGCTCGGGCCAGTTCCTCCTGTATTATTTCTCATCACGGAGGCAAGAGGAGTTGCTGGTGCGGATCGGACAGGGCCTGCCCTGGCGTTTATCCCTGTGGAGGCGGCTCACGGGCTGGCACGGACCCCCCAGGGCCAGGGGAGCGTGCGGGTGACCCTTGGCCCCCGCAGCCTGTGAGCTGGGGCCCTGAAGCGTGGGGTTTAATTAGCCGTATCGTTATCTCAGCTTGTGTACTTACGGGTGTTATTAATGGCTGTGAGAGCATCCAGTCCGGTTCGGGGCCAAACCGCATCGCCGCAGTCCCCTTTGATGGTGCACTCCTGCGTTCTTGGATGGGGAATCAGCCTGAAGGATGCTGAGCTGCAGCTCCGGCGCTGGCCAAACACCGCGAGCAGCCTGGGAGGGTCCCAGCCGGAGCCAAGTCCCCAATTCGGTGCCAAAGCCAGCAGCGTGCTGGCAGGGCTCAGCACCTGACTCCGGCTGGGTCCCCGTGGCTGAGTTCTGGGCACAAACCTTTTATCCCAGCCCGTCCATGGGGTTTCTGTGACATCCAGCAGAAAGAAGGGGGGATGTTCCCCGTGGAGAAGGATGCTCCGAGGGCTTTCAGCGTTAGCGCATGGGGTTTGGCAGTTGCTGCTCCTGCAGGGAAGCCACGTGGTGGGTGCTGTGGTGAGGCCCTGCACCCCGTGGCCGTGATGCTATGGGATGGGAGGGCAGTGGTGAGTCAGGGGGGACCCCCAAACCGCATCTGGGGGGGGCACGTGTCTTCGCTTCGCTCATTTGCAAGGACCATCCATGCTGGGCACTCGCAGTGAGGATCACAGGGCAAATACTGTGTTTTTCGGGCAGGTTCACCCCAAAGACACCCGGTGCTGTGGTTGGGCTGTGCCGGTGCAGCCCCAGACCAGCCCAAATCCCATGGCACAGCCACGGTGGCACTCGACCCCCTTCATCCCACACTGCTGCTGTCTCAGCTGGGGATTCACCGAGCAGAAGACCTGCTCTGTGTCCCGTTCGGATTTTTTTTCCATCACCGTTATTATTTTTCACCCTTGGATGTGTGCCACGCATCCGTGCTGTACAGTAGCGCACCCGGCTCCATCCCACTTCCCTGTTTGTCTAACTTTTTAACCCTGGAGAATTCAAATCTATTTTCTTTCTTCTCCTTTTCTAAAAAAAAAACAAACCCAAACCTATATTAACCTGGCTCAATAGGAGGCATTTTCTTGAACTTATTAAAAAATCCAGACTTGTAAATTAATTTGTTCATGTTGTACAATGGCAGTGCAGATGGACTCATTAGCATGCACACAACAAATAATTATAGATGAATTTTTAGCTGGCCTGCTTAATGGGCTTGCTGGGTTAATTATGTCAATGTATAATTACATCAGCCCTGGGAGACATAATGGCACACCCTGCTGAGCAGACACTAGCTAATGATGGTGTAATGCTGACAGAGGGAAGACGGACGGCTCTGAATGCACCTGCTTACCTCGGCACAAACCGCCATTGTCTGCACCCAAACGGGCCAGCGCTGGCGGCACCGGGGCCACCGGTGCTGTGGGTGCCACCGGCTCACTCCGGCAGGTGATGCCCCCACACAGCCCTGCCCGTCCCTCGGGGCTGGTGATGGACAGCGTGGGACTGAGGGGTGCCCCGGGGCCAGTTTGAAGTGGGGTGCGGAGGGCGGCTGCCCTGGGGTGGGTGGTGAGGAGGGTGGGCAGCGGGTCCCCTGGGAGGTGGGAGAGGGCTGGTGGTGGGCATCCCTGCCGCTCACCGCCACATCCCGTGTCCCACAGACCCTGCTCCTGTGCTGGAGGCTGCCCGGAGCCTCGAGGACCGGCTGCAGCAGCTCCCGCGCCTCGAGCCTGAAACCACCCCTCTGAAGGACCTCAGCCACCCCTGGAAGAAGCACTCGGAGCTTGTTAGCACCAAAGGTACCACCCGGCACTGGCCACCCCGTTGGACAAGGGTGGCAGCGGCAATCCCCAGCCGGGTCCCCCCACATGCCTCCGAGCATGCCTGGGGCACTGGGGGTCTCGGGGCCAGGACCCGTCCCCTGGCCCGTGGTCCGCAGCAGCCACCACTGCTGTCCCCTGTGTGAAACATGTTCCCCCACAGAGCACAGAGAGGGGACGTCGCCGGTGGCCGGGCTCGCGGCAGCGGCCAAGCCCCCGCTCTCCGGCATTGACGGCAAAGCACTGTGCACAGAAACCTTGCTGCAGAGAAATGAGGCAGAAAAGCAAAAGTACGTGAGTACTGGGGATGGGGCTTCACACCCCGCAGCCGGGGTCGTTTTGGGGTGCTGGGGGGACATGTGGCTCTGTCCCCGCTCCTGCATGGGGGTGTCCATCTGTCCTTCCCTTTCCTCCTTCCCTTTGCACCTCCTTTGCTGTCCGGGTTGAGAGTGGATGGATGCATCCAGCCTGGAAACCTGACACACAGTCTCAGGCACTCTGAGTGTCCGTCTGTCCATCCATTCCCTCTCCCAGGCTGTTTTTGGGCAGTGGCGGGCGCAGGCAGAGCCAGGGCAGTTCCCTCCTGCCAGCCCCTCGCGCCGTCTCCCTGGCACGTGGCTTTGCTCGGACAAATGGGTTAAATCCAGGTTGGCGGATGAACCTCGTTAAATGGCCTTTTAATTTGGAGGCTCCCGGCTTTCCCGGTGCCTTCATTGTTATTCCTTAACACGCTGCACTGGGAAACAAATGAGGAATCTTTAAACCCTAAATTGCAGATCTCTGCGAGTAAGTTCCTGGCAAGTGCAGGCTATAAATAATGCAGAATAACTTTTCCCTGATTGCTTCCCCACCTCCAATTAACTACAGGCGGGGGTGGGCTGCCACCCCCCCATCGGAGGGGTTTCAACCACAGATATCAGGACTATTTTCAGCCCAAAGTGACTTTTTTACACCCGAGGCAATAAACCCCTTAACATCAGGGGGTAACACGACTTGAACACATCCTGGCGTCCACCGACGGGTCTTTCCCCTGGCGTCACCGAGCGATGGGGACACAGCGAGGGAGTCTCCGTGCGCCCTCGGGGGGCTGCGGGGTCGGCACGGCCGCGGTGCCGCCGGCACGTCGCTGATGCCCGTCTCTCACAGGGGGCTGCAGGAAGCACAGGTCACTTTGGCCGCTCGGCTGGGGGAGGCAGAGGAGAAGATCAAAGTGCTCCACGCAGGTAGGGGGGCTGGGGCAGGGGTTGCCAGCTGTGGGGACCAAGCCCCCACCCCACGGCTCATCCTCCTCTTCCTCTTCCCAGCGCTGAAGGCCACTCAGACAGAGCTGCTGGAGCTGCGGTGTAAATATGATGAGGAAGCCGCATCCAAGTAAGTCACTGCTGATGCCCAGTTGTGCCCAGAGGCCGTTGGCGTGTCCAAGGCTGAGCCAAGCTGCCCGCGGCAGCATGGCAGTGCTGGGACATCCCAGTGGTGCTGCTAAATGACTTGAGGAGCTGAGATACTTTAAGCGACTGCAGCAGCATCCCAAGTCACGGGGGCTCCGTAAACCTAAGGCAGGAGCCCTTGCCGGCTGCAGAGAGCTGTGTCCCTTGCCTCCATGCCAGCTGACACCTCTTGCTTTCTTGTCGCAGGGCAGATGAAGTAGCCATGATCATGACGAACCTCGAAAAAGCCAACCAGGTGAGCCGGGAGGTGATTTTCCAGCCAGAACAGAGCACGTACCCCACTCCACCTGTGCCATGCTCAGACACGGCCCCCCAGGGCTGACTGGCTTCACCCTGCAGAGCCTGGGCGCTGCATCCGCCGCAGCACCCCAAGCATCCATGTGGCCTGGATGTCTGTCCCCAAAAATGGTATGGGGTGGCCAGGCTCCAGGACTGGGAAGCCCTATAAAGGGGGGCTCTGTTTTCCTTCACCCGGCGGCTCCTCCAAACCAGCCCAGTGGGACCCCCTGTCCTGTGTTGAGGGTCACTGGTGTGTTTGGGCTCCCACCAGGCTCCGCTTCGGCTGCTGGAGCCAGCATTTGTCACCTCCAGCCTCTCCTGGGTGTTTCAGGGCACAACCCACACCATCCTGGTGATGGTTTCTGGTGTAATTGCTTCTGGTCTTATCTATTCCTCTTCATTAGTTTTATTTAATTCTGAAAATGTAGGTTCAAATAAATGTCCGTGGGTAATAAAAGAGGCTTAAAGAGCAATTTGCATGTAAATACAGCCTTTTGGGTGGAAAAAGGTGATGTCCTGGAGGTGGCCTGCTGGTGCCCAAGGACTGGGAACCAGTTAGAACATGGGAAGCCGAAATACATAGCAGGGCTTATGGTGACGGTGGTAGGAGCAGGATGCTCGGGAGAGGCGCGAGTGGGTGCAGATCCTGGAGCCCTGCTCTGCCCTGTGTGGGGTGGGACGAGCCGCAGGTGCCTGACCTGACATGCTTTCCGCTCTCTTGCAGCGAGCGGAGGCGGCGCAGAGGGAGGTGGAGAGCTTGCGGGAGCAGCTGGCGGCCGTGAACAGCTCCCTGCGTCTGGCCTGCTGCTCCCCGCCGGGCGCTGCTGGGGTGAGGGCACGCCATCGGGGCCGGCAGCACCCCATCATGGCTGGGAGCATCTGTCACAGCCAGGAGCATCCCATTGCACTTGGGAGCATCCCGTCATAGCTAGGAGCACCCCATAGCAGCCAGGAGCACACTAGCATGTTCAGGAGCATCCTGCTGTGCTCCCGCTGTGTTTGGGAGCACCCTTTTGCATTTGAGAGCACCCACCATGTTTGGGAGCAAGCCTGAAATGCCCATGACCGAGGCTTTTTTCCACCACGGAGTGGTAGCGTTGGCCATGCCCTACCTGCAGTCCCAGCCTCCTATGGGGAGGGGGGATGTGTACCCCCATAGCACTGAGCAGACGTACCTGGGAGCCCTGTAAGGGCAGAGGAAAGGTCTGTCACTGCCCACGGCTGCATCACCCTGGGTCCCCGTCCTGCACGGCTGAGTTCTTGGCTCGCCTGCTCCCCCTGGGGACACGTCTGATGGGGAGGGTGGCCCTTGTCCCCGCGTTGGGCAGCCAGGAGCTGACGGTGTCCCCTCTCCCGGCAGGACAAAGTGAACTATTCCATGTGCTCAGGGTCGAGGCTGGAGGCGGCTCTGGCTGCCAAGGACCGGGAGATCCTGCGGCTCCTGAAGGACGTCCAGCACCTCCAGAGCTCGCTGCAGGAGCTAGAGGAGTCCTCTGCCAACCAGATCGCCGAACTGGAGGGGCAGCTGGCTGCCAAGAACGAAGCCATCGAGGTGCGCCCATGGGGGCTGGGGGCTTGCCAGGGAGGGGGAGTGCGGGTCCAGCCATGCCGGGTCTGTGCCAGGAGCCAGCTGCTAGGACTCCCCCCCTCTGCTCCACAGAAGCTGGAGGAGAAGCTGCAGGCACAGGCGGACTACGAGGAGATCAAAACGGAGCTGAGGTATGGCTCGACTGGTATCGATGCCTGCTGCCTGCCTGTACCCCGGCCAGCCAGGTGCCACCAGCACCCATGCACACTTCCAGCAGCCATAACACTTGGCAGCTTGACGGCAGTGAAAAGCTGTGCTCGCCGAGTCACCTCTCCTTGTCTCCCTCCCAGCATCCTGAAGGCGATGAAGGTGGCCTCCGCCAGCTGCAGCCTTCCCCAGGCAAGTGCCGCGGTGCGTGCCGACATGCTGGGCAGGCTGGGGCCTGCGTGCCAGCCCTGCCGCCAGTGGCTCCACTGCCCTTTCCCATCTCGGCTTGGCTCCTTGCAGAGCATATCGAAGGCGGAGGAGGCCCTGCTGCTGGGGAAGGAGGCTTTCTACCCCTCCCAGAAGTACCTGCTGGAGAAGCCCAGCCTGCTGGCCAGCACTGGTAGGGTCCCTGGGTCCCACAGCATTCCCGGTCCCACTGGGAGCAGCCCTGGGAATGTGGGCGACGGGGCTGGGTCCTGCCCCAGCTGTGGGAAGGAGCCCAGAGCCAGCAGCGGGGCGGGGGGATGGACAAGGGGTGGGATGTCAACTGGGGAAACTGAGGCAGGAGATGCTTTGCTGCGAGACTGTGCCGGGGCTGCCGGCTGGGGGGACTCTAGTGCGTCTCCTTCTCTCTCGTTCATCTCTAGAGGAGGATCACTCTGAAGACGAGTCGGGGAAGGATTCGCTGGGCATGGAGCAGCCGTACCCGTCCCCCCAACATGCCCCGGCAGACGAACCCGCCTCCCCCACTCCCCTCCCGCCTCTGCCTGGCCCTGGCCTGGCCCCCGACGGCCCCCGGACTTTCTCACTGTCGCCCTTCCCGGGGAGCGAGCGACTTTCGGGGGACCCTAAGACCCCCCACCTCCCGCCACCTGCCCACAAGAGCGAGGGTGGCGGGGCAGGGCCGCCCTTCCCCTCCGCCTTCTTTGGGGCCAAAACCAGCGCTGTGCCCCCCAGCACCGTGCCGGCCGCCAGCCCGCCCAGCGAGCCGTCCGAGGGTAGCGCCAGCAGCTCTGCCGAGGAGGAGCAGCTGGACACGGCCGAAATCGCCTTCCAGGTGAAGGAGCAGCTGCTGAAGCACAACATCGGGCAGAGGGTCTTCGGGCATTACGTGCTGGGGCTGTCGCAGGGCTCCGTCAGCGAGATCCTGGCCCGGCCCAAGCCCTGGCGCAAGCTGACGGTGAAGGGCAAGGAGCCATTCATCAAGATGAAGCAGTTCCTCTCCGATGAGCAGAACGTGCTGGCCCTGAGGACTATCCAGGTGCGCCAGAGAGGTGAGTGGTTGGGGTGGCCCCGGCTGACGGGTCCTGCCCTGGGATGCTGCAAGCGGTGCCATGGGATCCCCTCCCGATGCACCCTGGCAGCACCCCAGGGTGCCCCGTGCCGTGGCGGGGATGCCCACCAGCCCGTGATATGCCGCCAAGACAGGCAGTGATGCCACACAGAGTCACCGGTGGCACTCGGGGATTGTCCCTGGCAGTCTCGCCGCTCACCCTGGGGTGGGATGGAGCCCCAGCAAATGGCAGCGATTAACAACAACCTGTCATGGAAGCTGCATCCCCGGACGTGCTTTACTCATTTATTCTGACAAGTGCCATTTAATTATTCATTAGGCTGTTTCGTGGCTTATGAATCAATGTGCTCGAGAATATTTTGTTAAAATAATGAAGTCTTAATGCTGCGGGACCTTGGTGCAGTGTCGGCCGCCTGCATGCACGGCTCTGGGGACGGCAGCTCCTGGCCCTGCCTCAGCAGTGGCAGCAGTGGTGGCTGGTCACTTGTGTCCCTGTGGTGGCACTGGGATGGATGGGGCAATGCTGGTCCATGCATCTGCTGGCATTTCAACCCGGAGGGCTCCCATTTATCCCCTGGATCCAATTCAGGGTTAACCCTTTGCCTGTGGGAGGGCACGGTGCCAGGGATGGGGGACATGGTCCCTGTGCCCATGTCTCTGCTCAGCAACCTGCGTGCCGGTGGGGAGCGGGTGTCCTTGGATGGGGCAAGCAAGGTGGCCGGGAGATGCCATGCTGGAGGCAAGAGCTAGCAGCCGGGGCTACCGGGGCTCCCCGCGCTCCAGCTCGTGACTAATCAGGAGTGACATTTGTCTTAAAACCAGCAGCCCTAAAAATAACTGAACATGAGGAACAGTAAATACTTCCTGACATACAAGCGGAGCTTGTAAAACCAGCACCGGTGACAAAGCTGTTATCCCGCCTCTTTGATCAGGTAGCATCACGCCGCGGATCAGGACGCCAGAGACCGGCTCTGACGACGCCATCAAAAGCATCCTGGAGCAGGCGAAGAAGGAGATCGAGTCGCAGAAGGGAAGTAGGTGCTGGCATGTGGGTTGCCCTGGGGGTGACCAAGCCCCAGCTCTGTCCCCGTGGGAGCAGCACCCACAGGGGTGCCGGTGGCTGGGTACTGCGTGGCTGCGGGTCCCACGGCACACTGAAACATCCGCAAAACCATCAGCATCTGGCGCAGGAGTCTCTGCCTCCCCTAGGAAATGTTAGCCGGCCCCTGCCAAGCCTGGCACTTACAGCACAGTCCCGGGCAGGGTGGCCCTGGGCTAACCCTGCGGCTGGCCAGGAGCCGGCACCTGGGATGGACCAGCCCTGGCAGGGCCAAAATGGGCTTTATTTGGCATTTCTCCCGCTGACATCCGTAGAGATTTGGGGCACGGTGGGAAGAAATGCTGGGAAATACTGTTAGGAACAGATGACTCTCCATGCAGCAGAATTTGTACCTGGCCTTTCGGAAACTTTGAATCTACCCTTTCCTCCCCTCCCTGCCCCAAAACAGATGATTAAATGAGGATGCACGATCCATCTGGCGTGAGGAATCATTAAAGCAGCTGCACTCGCAGTCAATTACAAGAAATGAAATACATTAAAACAGGTAGTCTGCTGAGAAAGCAGAATCCCGGAGAATTAAATTAGACAGGAACAGTGGAAAAACAGACAGGGAAAACAAACATGTTTGTCTATTGCCATCGTTGGTAATGAGATTTATTTTGCAATCGTCAAAAAAGAAGCTTGTTTAGAGCTGGGGGTGTCACAGCTTTTGCTTTGCGGGTGCTGCTGGTCCTTCTGATCTGCACTCACGTGGGGCATCCGCCTGATGGAGAGTGCTCCGAACCGGATTGGGCTAAAAACTATATTTTTTTCTGCATTTTGAATTATGGCCACGTAGTAAAACGGTGCTTGCTGCACCTCAGAGCTCCCCTCACCCCTTTTCTTTGCAGGTGAACCCAAAACGCCGTCAGCGTCGCAGGCAGTGGCCAACGGGGCAGGCGGCAGCAGCTCGGAGGACGCCATCAAGAGCATCCTGGAGCAGGCGCGGCGGGAGATGCAGGCGCAGCAGCAGGCGCTGCTGGAGATGGAGTCGGGGGGCAGCGGGCGCCCTGGGGACACACCGCCCACCGAGCGCTCCACGCTGGCCGCTGTCAACCAGAACATCGTCCCGACCTACGTCAAGCAGGAGGAGGGAAGCGGGGCCAGCCCCGGCCCCCCGCAGACGCCCCTGGCTGTCCTCTCACCTGCCGCCTTCGTCCAGAGCATCATCCGGAAGGTGAAGTCAGAGATTGGTGATGCTGGCTCCTACTTCGACCAGCACTGGGCATCAGAGCGGAGCCTGCTCAGCCGACCCTACACTTCTGTCTCGCCTTCGCTCTCCTCCTCCTCCTCGAGCTACTCCAGCATGGCCAACGGCCGGGGTTGGCCACGGGGCGAGCCCAGCGAGGGCGGCACCAATGAGGATGAGCTGCCACCGGCAGATGATGAGCCCCACCGGCTAACGGAGATGAAGGCGGAGGGAGCCGGCGCGGCGCCGGCAGGCAGCGGGCGTCTCTCCCAC